CAAAGGTGTGTGGTGGCTCATGATTCTGATGCCAAGCCGAGACATTGGCCTTTGGCAGATCTCTTCACCTGAAAATTTTAGCATATAAAGAGCACCAGGGGCTGGGGCTGGGGCTGGGGCTCAGTGGTAGTGTACTTACCTGGCATGTGTGAGGAGGCACTGGGTTTGACTTTCAGCACCATATGTGAATTAAAAAAAAACCCTAAGGTCTATCAACAATTTAAAAAAAAGTACCAAATGCCCCTAGAAAGTATGGAATTGCATTTGGAAACCCCAGATGTCTATGGTCAGTGAGGGTATGTAATGTAGGTGGTGCTCAAAGACAAGGTAAACCAGGGCCACTGGGCCAAATTGGGCTCACTACCTGTTTTTATAGTGAAAGCCTCTAAGCTAAGAATGGTTTTTACCTTTCAAAATGACTGAGAGGAATCAAAGGCTTTCACAGGAAAACCAGCAATCCAATTCCAGGGTTGGGGCTTATTGGAGCAGCATGCCCTTCCCTGTGCATGCCGTCTGTGCTCACTGCCACTGCAGGAGCCCCGGGCTGCACAGTGAGACCAGCTGCTACCCAGAGCTCTGTCCTTCACTGCCTGGCTCTGGCACTACACTCTAGACTGGACAGGTTGAATCAGGAACACCTGGCGTGACATGAGCAGTGATCCCAAGTACCCTTGAACTAAATTGACTTCTATTTCCCTTAAACAGGACACACGGAAAGGGGAGGGGGAAGAGACAACTCACCAATGCAAAATTCAACCATGTTAACTTAAAAACACTTTATCTTAAAAATTTTGAACCAAAAAAAATGATTTTACATGAAAATATAATTCTGAAGACAAGTATTTTAAACATTTCAATAATGCTTGCCTGTATTATAAAAAGTTATAACATGAAAATATCTATAAAAATATTAACAGGCACCTCAGAAGTAGAGACTTTTCAGGGGAATGAATAGCTAGTATGTACGCATTGAATCTACTTGGAGTGCTGAATCAACAAAACCAAATGGTTTCTAATTTGTTTAGTACTAAATTACATAACTGGGGAAGTTTCTTAAAAACTGAATAGTAGGTTAAAAGGCAAAATTGGATACTGCTATTTAATGTTTGCAACTAAACTGGATGTTGAAAAGGTACATTTAACTTATTAAATCAGAAATTAGTGTAAATGTTTCAGTTAATATATTTCAAACTGAACATCTTGACCAAATTGAAGTTAATATGAGCCCACACAGTTTTTGAAAGCTATTAAAAAATACTTGAAGCCCCATCTTTAGTATTTTGCATTATCAAAGCAGCAATGAAAAACATTGACATTTCAGATACAATTCTATAAACCTTACATTACTTACAAACCTTCCATTATAAAAACTTAAGTTTTCTTAAAAGATAAAAATTTGATATTCAAGTATTTCTAAATTGAGAGCATATAAAAAGGTAAAAAAGGCTGGTGAGAATGTCTATAGACAGAAGACAGTCTTGGTGGCCAAAGTCAGAGGGCTAGGGTTAGCTTTTATAATCAATTTAGTATTCATTTTAACCACTTACATTTTGGAAAAATTTACACAATTTAAGGAATTGGCCAAGATATTAAACTTATTAGTTTACTGAATTATAAATTCTCAATTCTCTGGAATAGACACTATAAAACTATTCTCAATCCCAATCAGGTTATCAGCTTAGTATAAAATAAACTGACAACTAAGGAGATAAGGGAGTTGTTCTCGCTCCTAAGTTTACCATATGAAAATCCCTATAATTTTTAAAGAAAGCCCTCTCCATGAAGGTAGCTGTGATAAAATGATTTGAGAAAGAAAAAATTGGAAGGGTGCCCAAATTAGATACCCATTTCATTAAAATTAAACCCTCTGTATGAAAGACAAAGTTAACCTGGAAGGCTGCGTAGTAAAATGAGTTGACAACCTAGGAGTGTAAGACTGGAGCAGAGAGAACTTGGGCAGTTTGACAGTCCCAATTAACAGGACTCGAGGTTAATTCCTAACATTGGTTATTAGCAGCCCAAAGCAAATGTAACCAAAATAAAAGTCTTTCACATTTCACGTAAAATTAGAAAAAAAAAAAAAGTAACAAGATAAATAAATATACTTAAGTTTACACTTTTGACTTCTCAGCTCGTGGCCAAAGCAATATTTACAAACACATATAAGGGTTAAAGGCCTATTTACGTTAGCCAGATACTCTGAAGATATATGTTCTAGGAGAAAAATTAGTCCTGACCTTGAAATTTGAAAAATTGTTAATCATTAAGGCAATTTCCCCCAAGATTCTACAAAAAAAGGTCATTTTTTTTTTTTAAAAGACACTTGAAGGGCCAGGCATGGAAGAAATCAGGAACAAACTGGTGAAACCTGTAGGCTACAATCAAAAAGTGCTCTTAAAGGCAGACTCTGCTTTGACCTGACAACCTATGTGCTGCTGGCATGCAGACGGGCAGTTCCCGTGGAACTGGTCAGTTTGATACTATGGGTCTACTAGCCGTGTTAGAGGGGGACAAATCTAATTTTTATTCAACTGTTACATATGACAAATAGTATTATATATTCCCTGACTTGCTATTTTTCAAGGCATGCCACGATATTCAAAGTGAATTTCCAAAATATCCAGTAATTGATCATTATAGAGCAAAACATTTTAACATTATATTTATATTCTTTTGTGTGTGTGTATGTATATATATGATTTTTAAAATGCCACAGATTTGATTTTTAATGGCCTCTGAGAATAAGCTGGTGGACTCCATCATCTACCTGCTACAGTGCATGCTGGACTTGTGGAAGGGCAGGGTGGGCCAAGGCCATCATGTGACAGGTCCTACGCTTCTATCACTCTGAGTCGGTGAAGGGCTGTGACAAGAGCCAGTCTTCTCTGGAAAGCAGAGCTTGGGCCTCTGATGGTATTTCAGTCTGTACGTATCAGTCATGCAGCTGTCAACTGAAAAATAGGTAGTTAATGAGACGGTCTCACTTGGGCACGGAGAACTAGAGTCCAGTTCTGGCTGGCAGAGTGCATCCTCAACTGTAGTTGAGTTTGCCTGAAACCCACAAGCTGCAGTGTTGAACAGGCAGGGGGCTCTGCTGCCCGTACGCAACTTCACTTGAAGGGTCTCTCTGCATCTCAGGTGGTCCGCATGTGTACTGAATTCTGAACCTGGCTCTGACACTGCGCTTGGCCTCGTGGGACCGCTGAACACCCCTGAAAGTCTGACATCAGGCACAGGCTCACTCCTCTCCGACTTTGGCACACTAGTAACAGCATGTTTCTTTGGTGGCAATGCGGGTGGCAGAAGCTGACAAAGAAGTTCTGGCCCCTGGCAACCATCACATCGGCAGGCTGGCTGAGCCACAGGTACCGTGGAAGGAGAGTTCTCACAGTAGCATGGCTCTATCCTGGTCTGCTGCGGAATAGCGTCCCGCTTTGGGCCGACAGCCCTGGAACGTGCAGAACGGGAAGAAGACGGGGAGGCCACTTCACTACTGTTCACTCTCTTTCCAGGCGAACTGTCACAGAGGTGAAAGGGCAAAGCTGCCCCCTCAGAATGTTCTCTACTAAGCCACTCAGACAAGTGACTTCCATTCGGTTTTTCAGATTCCCGATGACCTGACTGGTGGGTGTGCTCTCTTGCAGTGTGGTCCTTGAGTATTTGGGGGCCAGGTGAAGGAAGGAAGTTTCCAGTGGTTTCATGGGCATGTGGCCTAAAATACAAAGATAAAAGCAAAGCTGAAACACCTTATGCAATAGGTGAAACTAGGGAATAAACATTTCTCTATTTCGGTTTTTCCAATGCATGGTTTATATCATTTTTGCAACACAATAGAAATGGGAAATATTATGCCACCCACAATATGCTAATGCTCACCAGAAATGCTCATCATTACCAGATTCATATCTCTTCTCTTCTCTTTTTGTGTGGTGCTAGAACAGAACCCAGGGCTCTGTGTAGGTACTTTGCGACTGATCTGCACTTCCACCCGCAAATCACATTTCTCACCATTAGAAACGTACTTTAAAGTTCATTTCACTGAAATTACATTTATCAGTGATGAAATACAGCACAGAACTTACGGAAAATGCTACAGACCATTCAATACTCTACATTGTTCTTGCCCCTTTCTAACACTGAAAGGCAACAGGGATGAAGATGTTTAAAATCTTATATCAACACTTTAAGGATGGTGAATAATTAATTTAATCAAAATTATCTTTAATAAAGTAATAGCTAATTCCTAAGGTGGAGATAAATCATATGTTTCAGATTTTCTTTTTTTTTTGGTAGCTGGGATTGAACTCAGGGGCACTTGGCCACTGAGCCACATCCCACCCCTATTTTGTATTTTATTTAGAGACAGGGTCTCACTGAGTTGCTTAGCACCCCACTTTTGCTGAGGCTGGCTTTGAACTCACGATCCTCCTGCCTCAGCCTCCCAAACCACTGGGATTATAGGCGTGGGCCACCGCACCCGGCTATGCTGCAAATTATTTGTTTCATGATTTCTCCTATGAATTTTTCCTATGAATTCATAGAACTGAACTAGAGAGGAATGACTAGGTAGATGCAGTTATCAAATCTCAGCTCCACTGCTTTGAGCAGATTACTTAATGTCAACCTCAAATTTTCTCATTTGTAAGATATAGCAGTTCCCTCTCATCCACGGTTTCAGTTACCCACGGTTGACGTCACTCTGAAAACACTGACTAGAATATTCCTAAAATAAATGACCTGGGAGTTCTAAACCGCACACCCCTGAGTGAGCAGCATGAAGACCCCAGGCCGGCCTGCCCAGCCTGCTCAGCCTCAGTGCCTCAGTGCCCGGAGCACTCAGGTGCAGGTACACGTGGGCTCTGAAGCTCAGCAGTGATGCTCCAGCCGTGCAGAAGCTCAGCAAGGTGCTGCCCACGGGAGGGAGAGCAGGACATCCTTCAGGGAAATTAGACAGTCTGAGGTTGCCATGATCTAGACTCTTCTGTACAATCTCGAAGGAAACAAAGTCGTGCTGGTTTTGCTGTCACATCTCTAACAAAGTCACAGCCACGGGGCATGACAAGCGCCTGGTATATGCGAGAAGCGCAGCGCCTGGAGGTTCTGGGCACTCACTGGGTGGGATCCTGTACCCTCCTGCCCCGGCCGTGAGGGCCACTGTGCCTCTCCTCACAAGAACACCATGTCAGAACAGTGACGTGCTGCTCCTGGCACCTTGGAGGCCCGCTGCCCACGGGTACAAACCCTCCAGTGAGTCCCACTGTTCTAGGGGAGAAAGGCAGATCTATGCCTTCCTGATGAATGAAGAATCCCTATACCACGGCATCCACCAGGAAAGGGCTTGGCACTCCCAATCGTCAGCATTACCTTTTCACCAAACGACTTTTTACTTGCAGATGTGATCCTGGGTGGAGCTCATGGGATTTATAGCCTGCTTCCAAGTCCTTATGTTCTCTTCTAAAATCTGGGTTGAGAGGGAAAGGGGAAAACAAAATTATTTAAATGGTCTTGTAGAAATTATCCATTTATTTAATATTTATTTTTTAGTTTTAGGTGGACACTATATCTTTATTTTTATGTGGTGCTGAGGATCGAACCTGTGCCTCGCGCATGCCAGGGAACGCGCTACCACTTGAGCCACATCCCCAGCCCTATTCCATTTGTACTTACGTCAAGTTTTTGTGTAAACCAGGCAATTCTCTTCTAATTTAAAAACAAACAAAAATGAGTTCTTGGAGACAACTGAAAACATCACCCCTTTTCTGAACTAACTCCTTTCTGCAATATCAGTGATTCCTGCGCTGGAGGGCATTCCTGCTGGGTCACGTGGAACTCTGTGTTCCTCGGCCAGCTTTGCACCACTGTGAACAAAACACCCAACACGAGCAGCCCAAGAGGAGGGAGGCTCCTTGTAGACCCGCTCCCTCGGCCAGGGCACGGCTCTGCGCCCCAGGCCAGGCAGTGGGTCTCAGAGGAAGGGTGTGATGGGGCAGCACTGCTCCCCTCAGGGAGATGCCCCCAGGACCCCTCTACAGCCGTGCCCACCTGCCTACGGCCACCACCCAGTGGGCCAACGCTGGCCTGCACTGATCGGGCGACAGCTCCCACAGCCCCTTTCCCCTCTGAGCACCCCTGCATTCGCAGGCGCGCTGGGGAGCCCTCCCACCCCACCCCAACAGTCTGAGGCCAGCTGACCCGGGTCACGATGAATCCTCTAACTATGGGCTGGTAGCTTTAAGCAAGCCTCTTCCTCATTCACAGTCAGTTTCCTCCTTTATGGAACGGGATAACAACACACTTTAACTGCTTCTCAGGGTTCTTGGGAGGGTCAGTGAATTACAGGGTGGGACGGAGCTATGACCACACAGAGATACCCCAGCACCCAGGAGCTACTGCTCACGAGCTGTCCATGGGTTGCGTGTGGGTCACCGCGCACTGAAGTCTAGTGGATAGAGACATCTGGTGTCTGGGAATGACCAGTGGACATTTTCTTTGGTCATTTCCCCAGACACACAGTGAATCTCTATCCTGCTCTACCAAGACCCACACAGCACCTGAAACGGGTATTATCATTGTCAAGTTGGGCGCCAACAGAAATGCCTGTCAATCAAGGGGATCTCCTGACTAACGCCAATCCTGGAGTTCAGCCAGCTCCCCTGACCAACTCCCGTGGGACTAGGGACCCTAAAAATCCCTTTTCCTGTCCCAAACCCTTCCCTTCCTGCCATGAGCCCCATTAAATCCCACACGGTTTCTCCTTAGGCCCTTCTCCTGACCACTCTGCCGGTCTGATTGAATTCCCTCCAGGGATGAGTCTCAAATAAAGCCTCCTTCAGTGGTCTTTTTAAATCTGCCTCCTTTGGTCGCTGCCCCCTTGCCTGTCTCACAGGTGTGACGGCCAAGACGCCAATCAACCTGCTGACTGCAAGACATCCCAAAGAGACTCGGCCTAGAAGCCTTGTCCCCGCCTTGCATGCAGCAGCTGCCATCAACCCTAGGAGCTCTCTTTCCTTAGTCTAGTTCCAGCTGAAGCCAAAATCAGTTGTAGAGACAGGAAAATCAAGTCAGCTCAGGTGAGTCAGGCCGATTTTGCCGAGGGGTGAAATGTTATTCCTTCAGGGCCCTTCCTCCACCCCCTCCCCCTCCAGCCTGTGGCTAAGGTAGCCTGTCCCAGGAATGGCCCCTCCCTACAGGGAACACAAGGTTGTTAGGTGTCCTGGGCTGCTCCACCCTGCCCTTCCCCTGCCCACCTGTTTCTCACCTTTGGCCATCCCACTAGGCATTCCTGGGCCTAGTCACTTATGCAGGAAGGAGAAAGATAAGGGAGAAAAGGCAGGAGAAGAAAGGAAGCCTAGGAAACACAAAAAGGGCGAAGACCTCGACTCCTGGGATACCAGGACCCAGCTACGGCCCCCTCCTCTCTCCCTGGAGAAGTCTGTTTCCCCCTTTTTTAAAACCTGCTTTGCATGCTTGCCTCCGCGTGCTTCTCTAAAGTCAAACTCCAACACGGGAGTCACTGGCAATGGCCGCATCACAGCTCTCGGTGGACAGGACGCATCAGGGGCTCTGCTTTGGTTAATACTTTCCTGACTCTTGTTTTGTTCCTCTCTAATCATTTTAGACTTCTAAGTTTCCAGGCGGCTTACACCTTTCTGGGCAGGAAGAAGAACCCCCAACGAGACGCTGGCAGTCACCCCTGTTAGTTTATGTTACTTACTGTCTACAGCAACCTTATGAAGGAATCCTACAAGTTTTGCAGATGAGGAGTCAGAGGCTTAGCCAGGCTAAGGAGCGATCCAAGATCTCACGGCCACCAAGGAACCATATCTGCATCGAGCCACGCCAACCCCTGAGGCCCCAGATCTGATGTGCAACAGGCACCAAACCAGTTAGACATTAGTTTCGATAAGGTCACAAGAGAATCATGCAGTCGGACTCGTGAATCCACGCCTGGTCAGCGTGAGGTCTCAGACTCAGAACCCATCATTTCACCTGCTGCCTCCTTTTAACCACAGCTCCTGGGACCAGGGCCTCCCACAGGGGCCACCCTGCTGCTGTTGCCCCTGCAGGACACTGGAGGAGGGTCCACAGGAGGCCTCTGACACTGTCAATGCCCAGAGAAAAACACTACCCACATCAAGATCTCGCTCTACAAAATAGTACTTCAAAACAGCTCTCAAAAAAATGATCTTAACACATCTAGATGAGACTAATTTCCCTGTCAGGTGAAGTAGATCCAACCAATTACACCTGTGGGAACTAAGGACTGTTTCATAGGGTACAGATGAAGGGAGCGGAAACATCGGATTTTTTAGGAGTTTCACCTACTAGTGTGACAGTAGGAGCAAATGTGACTCCATTTTGTTTTATGGCTTCATCCTGTAAAACAACCATGCCAACCAGAAGGGTCAGGCCTGGGGCAAGATTTCTTTTCCTTTTCTTATAGAAACCTTTAACATTAGCAACTACCTAATGGGGCATTGTTCTATAACTAGGTAACGGGGCTCTGGTTCTGTAACTGGGGTGACTGGGCTAGCTGTGATTGGTTAGGCTTCCCTCCGCTTGACTGCACTCTCCTGCTTCTGTAACCTGGCTGGCTTGCATTGGCTGGACCCCCGAACATCCCTTTTGTGGTTTTCAGGCTTATAAGGAGCGCCCTTGAAATTGTTCGGGGCTGATCAGGGGAACAGCTTTATGTTCTGGTCAGCCGCCACCTGTGTGCTTCAATAAAGGCTTGATTCGATTATATGTGAGTGGTCTGGAGGTCAGTGTATGAAACCCTGGGACGAAGCTCTAACTGTAACACTAGCATCCCATTTCTGGGACAGCAAAGGCTTCATATCTGAGAATCAACTCCTTCATTTGCTAAGCAGGAGGGACCTGCAGCTACCGTTCACCAACAGAAAAATTGCATGAACCAGGGTATAAAAGCAACACAGAAGGAACTTTGGAGTTTGATAAATTTGTGAGTGCCACACCACTCACCTGTCTTGGAAACCAAACCCAGAGACTGCAGAGTGAGCCATGTTCCTACAACATGAGTACAATTTTCAGAAGTTTTAGGATGTACCAAGTGTCACATTATCCAATGCAGCAGTTTCCAAAGTGTGGCCACGAGGGCCGCCAGGACCCCCCCCCAAGGACCGCCCCCCCAGGCTATGCAGTCCAACTCTCTCACTCTGCCCCCAAGAGGTCACTGTCTCCAAGTGCGCTGACAGTCACACTGGCAGAGCAAACCAGTCAGACAAGGCTGCCAGTGTGAGAGAGGAGCGAGTCCCGGACCAGCAGGGACTGTGGCCTTCACAGCCACACACTTGTGGTCTTCAGAAAGCCAGTTTCACTGAAGCACGTTTAATGAAGCAGGACACAATGCTTCCTTCTATTAGTTAATTTATATGTTTTAAATTATTTTGGTGCATGAAAGAAGGAAGCATACATAAAGCACTTTTTTTCCTTCTCTTTTCTGGTGCTGGGGTTTGGACCCAAGCATGCATGCTCTACCACTGAGCCACACATCCCCAGTGTTTTACTTTGAGATGGGGCCTCACGGGTGGCCCAGGCTGGCCTTGAACCTTGCTTCTGTTGCCTGTGCCTCCTGAGCCACAGCATCACAGGCGTGCCAGCATAGTGGGCTTGCACGAAGTACCCTTGGTGCATATCTTGATATGACGGTTGTTTCAGGAACAGCACTCATGGGACAGTTTGAGCAGTGAGCTGCACCCAGCAGGTTTGTCCATGGAACCCACTTCTACCCCAGGAGATGCAGACCAACTGGGCACTGAGACTTGGGTTCTGCAGAAATGCTCTTGAAAATGAAGGAAGCGAACATGCCCCTAAAGGAAAGGGCTGGTGCAGTTCACCCCAGCGACGACTCGCACCTCTGGGGGAAGTCAGCCTTGTTAACAGTGGGGACTGACCAACTGTGCCTGGTAGCTGTGGGGACATTAACCAACGGGGTTCTCAAAAGACCGTTCAGTGAACAGCACTGGCACGGGGAGACTAGCGTGGCCTGGCAAGACGGGTTTCTCAGGGGGCGACACAGAGGCTAGAAGCTGTGCAGCAGAACGGCCCCCGGGGCATCAGGGAGGCCAGCATCTGTCACTGAGCTGCAGCATCAGAGTCACCTCCTGTGGGTCCAGAGCCCTCTGAGCCAGTCTGGAGGGCACTGCCTGTGGTGGCGTGCTGCAAACCAAGAACCCCCGTCTTCCCACCCATGTGTGGACAGATGAGCACCAGAGCAGGTGACTGCTACAGCGGGCGTGAGCAGCGGCAGACGCAGTGGTCATGCCAGGTGTCTCGGGGGGCGGAAGACTGCCAATCCACCCCAGTCATCTCACTGGTAGCGTTTCCTGGGAAACAGTTATTTTCCACTTGAAATGTTATTTATGTCAGCATGTAACAGCTTTATCCTTCTCCACATGTATTTCCTAATGACTCACAGAGCAAATACTAATGACCTAATCC